ACTTGCGCGAACCATCCCATTTGAACATCTGAACACTGAATATGAAACAAGTGGAATTATGAGCAGTCGTCACTAAACCATCACCATCAAGCAGAAGTGGCGGCGGGATTGGAGAACACCTTGCAGTATTGATCGGGCACTTGTGATTTCCGTGACCCGTCGCGTGAATCGCGCAAATCAGCGAAACCTGCGACGGATCGCGGACTCTGACACCAGCCTTAGGGGCGTTCAAGACTTACTTATGTTTCTACCCCTCTAAAAGAATTTATCAAGAACAGCAGGAAGGTAAGTCGTACTGTCAGAGAAAGCAACATTTTTTAGATTATTTATCAAGTCCTGCTCAGCATCTAACTTTTCAAGTTGACCGCACCACTTTCACAATAACTTTCGATTATATCGAGAAGAGCAAAACAATAGCCTTACCACTCCGTTCACTGCAATGAGCTGATCTCCTCGCCTCAAACCACCATGACGATCAGCAACACCACCTGGGATGATTCTGCAAGAAGGGACTGTGCAGAAGAGGAACACTATTAAAAAATTTATGCACAAACCTCGATATGTAAATGGGAGAGTTTTGTTCCTTTCCACCCATAACGTTGAATCCCAGGCCTTGATCGGTTTTTGGTAATTCGACTGTACGTGGGTGAGCCTGTCCTTCAGCAGCGGCAAATGCGGCAACGGTTGCTTTTGCAGTAGCAGAAGCCCGCACCTTAATGGGAGAACAGGACTGAATTTTTCTAGCAATTAAACATAAACTACCACAAAATAATGCAAAAGATGAAACCTCTGGAGGCCCCTCCACATCCACTATTTCGTACACCGTTTCGTAAACCTCACGCACGGCATTGAAGAAGTCGGATTGAAGAATTCTTTGGAGAGAGGCCAACTCAGGTGAATTCACTTCTCCTGTTCCTTGTACATGCTCAATCAATTCTAAGATTCGATGAACATCTGAAACAGCCAAAATAGGCACAAATTAGTACAACAGGAATTAGAAAAGTACCCCTTTTCAAATTCGGTCCTTCACAGTTCCTCTCCATCTCACGATTGACGCCCTAATTCAACCTATCAGAAGAACCTCACACTTTGTCAGCTGCAATAATGCTAAAACAGAAATGAGGTAAGATCACAGAAAACAAACAGAAACAAGAACGCAGGTATTTCTTCGGAGAGGACAACGTTTTTGCTTGAAAACTGGCACCATGTTTTTGAAACCTATTAAAATTTATTTGTACAAAAAGAAAGACACATAAATAAAAATAACAACTATATCTCACTAACAAGATTGAAAGTTTTGGACATTTCAAATGGCACTACATTAAAAGTGAGTTTCCGCAATTCGATATCCTTCTTGTACTCATAAACGGTCATTTCAGGATTTGTCAAATCTGGATTAATTAGCTCTGTTGTTATCCGAACAACGCCGTCACATGCAGATCTCAGAACCTTCTCAGTTCGGTCGGATTCGAAGTACACCTAGAATTGAAACTATCAACCAGAGGTACCATCAGCAAATGAGACAAGTACTATACAGGAGGGCTGCAAGGAGAGCTGATCACCAATCTTGTTTTGAGCTCATGTAATAACCCTATGGGCACTTTATCAGACATTTCGAACACCTGTCCGGGATTGCAAAATTACAGAAAATTTACAAGGAAAAACCGGTGTCGGTCGGAAACAGGACTACACAATAAATATGACCCCTCTAGTGAGTCCGGAAAATTGGACGCAGCTGGAAAAGTAGTGCAAAAAAAAACCCATGACAAACGAGGGAGTAATACAGGAAGTTGGAAACAGTTCACGACAGAGAAGACTAAATTCGAATTCTCAGTACTCACATTGAGTCCAGGATGGTAGTTCATCTTTGCCTGACATACCAAAATATCGTCTTTACGAACGGTTTCACCTTCTGTTCTATAAGCAAGCAATATGAGAAAAAGAGAACCTCAGAACTAGCCATGCATACCTGTATATTCCACGAAAGGGGAGGTTCGGTGGCGGTCGTAGAAGACTCCGCAACTGAGATAGCGATGAAACACGTGATTTTAGAAAGCTCATATCATCCGAGAAACACCAGCCGCTAAAGAACGATTGTATAAAACGATGCCCAGGCAAGGCTCAGAGTTCAGGAGATCTTACATGGGCGATTGAGCGTTGCTCCGCGCACTGAATAATTGCCTAAGCGCCTACTTGCCTAGTAGTCTACTCCCTCCAAATTGCATGTACGACCGCCAACTCTGAGCCCTGCCTTAGTAAGAACTTCCCATCCTCCTAGCTTAAGGATCTCCAAGGATATTTTTCCACATTATCAGCCTAATGGAGTGTTCATAGTTGGCGATCGTACATGCGATTAGGCGAGTAGGCGATTAGGCGTGGAAGACTACATACGTATTGATTGGTTTGCTCCGCCCATAGAGCGTTGTAGGCGAGTAGGCGATTAGGCGATCGCTCAATGGGCGGAGCAACAAATCAATACGTATCCTTCCCTTATCGCCTACTCGCCTACTCGCCTAATCGCACGTACGATCGCCAACTATGAACACTTCATAACGTCTCAGGCGCAATAACTGGACAACTCATCGTGCAAAAATTTGAAGCAAAAAGTCTCCAAAGGAAAAACGAGTTCTTCGTTAAGGCAAAAGAATTGAAATCATAGGAGCTATACAAGTGGGGTGGGCACGCCCAGCTTTTCACGCATGTCAAGTGACTGCCCTCACCCCCACCCCCTAGATTGGCTACACTCCCCCTGGCTCACGAATTCCCCGATTCTCGTGACAGTATAGTAGCGGGCAGCAGTCCCACTACATACATTTCTGTTCAAAAAATGCGGCGTGCCCACCCTACTTGTATAGCACCAAATCATCAACTATAAGTATTATCAGAATGGGCGCGCGTGTCCCCAGGTGGGACATTCAGAACAGAGCCGATAGTAGGTGAGCTGGGACTAAACAAGCCAAGACGAGTGGAGAAACGTCAGGAAGAGCATAAATTGCTCACATTGCTCACATCACACGCACATCACTTGGCTAACTCACTTGAGTGTTCCCCCTTCCCTCCAACGACATGAACTTCTTAGATGTGTAGCGAAAATCCCCAAAATGCAGTCCGGAGGCTCCTACTAGGAAACGAAGAGAGAGAGAATAGGTGCTACACGACGGAGCTTCACTCCTCCGCAAAAATTGGATTTTTAGGAGGAACAGTCCACTGCGTCACATGTCCATTCTCTCTATTGGAATAGACCTGAATGGAAAAGAAACGTGGAAGATTAACAAGTGCAATACTAGGCAAACTACGTTCCAAAATTATTTAGGCGTTCACTAGGACGTTGACCGCAGATTGCACACATTACGGTCAACATGCTTGTCACAGTATGCCGTAAATTTCGTAACAAGAGAGAAGAGCAACAAACTTCCACTATCGCAGCAGATCTCGAAAGACCGGTGCAAGTGTGGCTCCGGGGGCCAGCCTGTAACATTGCGTCAGATTCACGAAACTTTCAGTTTTGGGACTAAGCTTTGGAGGAAAAGAGGGAATCCGAGCTGCGTAAGCAATTTTCATTCGCTCCGGAATTCGTCCCTCTGCGTTAGGCTTAGTCCTAGTGCCTTCCGACAGACTGCCCCCCCCCGGAAGGCATATTGCGCCGAAAGAGCTGAAGCGCTTTTACCGTGAGGCTCTCTGTACTAAACACAGGAAATTTCGCAACAACTAACCAGAAACAACATGCGACTCACATTTGTCCTCGGAACCAAAGGTCAACTTCACTTTGCAGTTTTTAGCTTTGAAAACAGTTTTCTTTCAGAATCACTATCTGCGAACTAATCTGAAAAGCAAAGTTGGTGCCTCGGGCCAATGAGTCGCACTCACACATGCCGCAAGTTCACTAGACACCTCTACGAAGCCAGTTTCACATAATGTTTTGGTTTGCGGCGATGGGCGTTGCTAGCACCTACCTGCTGTCACTGAAGATTTCAACATATCGTAATTTGCCATTAAATTTCTTCAGAAAGCTTGCACGGGTTCTGTTTAGGGATATGTTCTGGTTAGGGATATGCCGATTTTTGTGCAGAAAGAATTTGCGAAGAATAATATTGCTTACCCGCTGGCTTTAGCCTTAGGGAGTGAAGAAGGAACTCCAAGGTGTGCAAGCAATATGGGCTTACGTCAAGGGGTTGGACGTAAGCAAACCAGCCCTTTTGGCGCTTCGGCTGGGACCGTATGCTGAATGTTGGGGAGGGGATGGAGTCCCCGACGGTGGACGGACCACTTCAACTCGGTCCTTAGAACCGCCACAATTTGGTGCTTACCTCAGAACTAAGCCTTAAAGAGAGGACGGGTCCGTCCCCTCTCCAAGGCTTAGTCCTGGGGTGAGCAAACCAGCCCTTCTGGCGGAGCTGCTGGACCAGCTGCACCACTTGCGTCAGTACTCTCCTATCGTACCAACCGAGTTGAAGTAAACCGTCGACCGTTGGGGACCCCATCCCCTCCCCAACATTCAGCATACGGTCCCAGCCGAAACGCCAAAAGGGCTGGTTTGCTTACCTCGTGGGGTTGGGACATCAAGCATTTCACGCATGTCAAAACGTGCGCGCCCTGATCTCCCCTAGATTAGTCCACTTCCCCTGACTCACGAATTCCCCGCTTTTCGTGACATTGTGGTAGGGAGCAGCAGTTCCATTTCTGTTTAACAAAAAAATGGGGCGTAACCCTACTTGTTATAGCGAACCGCGACATATCAATAATCGGCATTGGTGGCTGAACTTAGCTTGGGGGGGGGCAACGCGGCGGCGCGTCAGTCATGGCTCACGCTGGGTTCTCGTCGACGGAGACACGTGTACACATGCCACGTGACTGCCCCCTCACCCCCCACCCCCTAGACTGGCTACACTCCCCCCTGGCCCACGGATTTCCGAACATGCCAGGCGAGCAGACTGCCGCGCCGCCGCGTGGCCCCCCCCCCAACTAAGTTAGCACCGCCATTCGTGCTTTCCGTGCTAACTTAGTTGGAGGGGGGGCCACGCGGCGGCGCGCGCTCTGTTCGTCTGCTCCTCCAAGGCTTAGTCCCAGGAGCAGTTACTATTTCGCCATCACGTGGCAGTTTCGAAATACGCGCCATCGGGGACTAAGCCTTTGGAGGAACAGACGAACAAAGCACCGCGCCGCCGCGTGGTCCCCCAACTAAGTTAGCACCTATTCCCCTTCTTCTCGACAAGTAGCCCACCTAAACGCACCACATTTGTTGACTTCATACAGTTGGCTCGTTTGAATGAGCAGAAATGCCTCCACTGTAATCAATCACACCCTTCCACTTCCAATTGCCAATCGATGACCTTTGCGAAACCGACTTTCGAATTCGCTGGCACCGCCGAGGACAAGTGCTCCTCGTTCACCTGTCTATTCGACCTTGCGTGGTCTTTCACGTCTCTGTCTCCCTTCTGTCGCACTCACTCGCCACTACGCAATCGTTCTGCTTCCAGCCGGCGCAGAGATGCAGAGCATTTAGTTTCTGTTCGCCGTTAGTCATGTGCCAGTGTTCCCGCTTTATAGAAAGAAGCCATTCTTCCTGTTTTCTTACCTTCTTGTTCTTTTGTTGCTGTTTCTCCTGTAATAGGAAAGGCGTTTTGTTCTGTTATGAAGAGCGCATGCTTCTAATAACACAGTTATGATCCAGATTAGGAGTTACAAAGTCTTTGGGTGGGTATTTCACGTATTTTGGTGAGTTAGTTGCATGAACGATAAAGCATAAGCTTCGTTTTAGAACATCGAAAGTATAGGTGTGCTCTTTAGTCACAAGCTATCGTGTTATTAGGCATTTATTCCAGTAGTGAAAGATGGATACTACGATTTACGGG